CCCCCGCTCACACGAGCACATGCAACGCATCCTCTCTCTCTCAAAATAAATAAACTTAAAAAAAAAAAAAGAAGGTAGACATATAAATTCAAACAATAACCTTTCCGCTACACACTGGACAAGGGCACTTGAGTCCATGTCTACAAAACGTAAAAACTACATCGCAAACAAAAAAGATAACAGTAACAGAACAAAGCCCTTACACCAAACCGACATAAGATCTGTTCAGAGAAAAGCTCTAACTCATCATTGCCTAAACCCACATCCTTCTCTGACAAAGTATTCAAGTCTGAACACTACTTTCATGTTGTCACAGGTCTTAAACTGGCAGAACTTCCTTCTACTTCTGAATTTGTTCTCCAGAAACTAACAGTGTTTTGGTGAGGTCAGAAAAGAAAAGATACGGGGTATTTGCCCTTCTTTAGTGCTGAAACATAGAGAAGGAGAATTTTCTTAACCTCATTTTACACACAGAATGACTGAGGCACTGAAAGATGAGAAGCAATGTTCATTGGTGGGAGCTCCAATAAACTCCATAAACTCCAGATGTCTTCTTCCTGATCCAGCACTTTGGTCCCCATTCCGTAAGTCACAGATGCACATTACTAAAATGACAGACACATCCTGTTGAAGAATCAAGCTCCACCCTCTTTCCGGTCTCCCTCTCATCTGAGCCTGACCCGGACCCACTGCGTTGCTGGGTCTGCTGTCAACTGCAGAGGAAGAATCTGGTCAGAAGGAGATGTATTTACACTCTCTTCTTGGGCACGTTCTTTATCTCTTTGAAATGATTATATTAAATGGATGTGGGGCTAAAGTTAGACCATATCTTCCAGTCAGGATGGGCTTCTTAGAATCCTTCGGTAAAGCAAATGTGAAACTCTGCATTAGGCTCACAAACATCAGAAATAATTCCATCTTTGCCAGCTGTTCTCCCATACACACGCGCTTCCCTAAAAATGAGATCAGAAAAGAAAGTTGACACTATAAATACCACCCTGTTTCCTATCTCAAGAAGGGCAATTGGCAATGGTATGTGAAATATCTCAATTAAGTGTTTTAAATGCAGATATAGAGAGTTTTAAAACAAAATGGTCATATATACCTCATGGCCTCCCAAAGTATATGCTGGTCCGAATTTCTACACACTAAGTTCACATTTTAACTCCTACTCATGAAAACTTATCCTCATTCTAGACAGGAACTAGAGACAGATCTAGGCAACCCTGTCTCCTCCATACCTTCTTATGGCTTTCCTTTGGTCTCAACTGGAAGATTAAAGAGAGAATGAGTCAGAAGACAATGTTTGGAGAATTCCTTTCTATAGACAGAACCCTACATGTGCTCATACAGGTTTCTAAAAGAGGGACTGGTGAGATTAGCAAACCCAGCCTCTCAGCCACCAGCACAGCAGAAGGTCACAAGTTGCTCTTAACTCCAACAATTTCCTGGGACTCAAACAATCACTTGGGCAGCTCAGAAAGGAAGATTTCTAGTCATATCTCGGGATTTAAAACCAACTGCTTTCATTTTGTTTTTAAAATCTGAAATAAATGCAGGGGGCTGCATTTAATCTCAGTTATTTACCTCTTATGTTTGCTTGTCAAGATGGAAATGTTTTTAAAACAGTTTTATCATGAAATAATAAAAGATTCTTTTAGTCTTCCCTATTCAGTTATGCCATTTAGAAAATAAAAGTTTAACTGACCTATCCCAAAAGGAATAAATGTTTCTTTTTTAATAAGTTGTCCCTGATCATCCAGAAATCGATTAGGGTAGAAATCATCCGGTTTCTCCCAAATGGCTGGGTCTCTGTGTACTGACCACAAGTTGGGTAATATCATTGTGCCTTTAGGAATGGTATATCCTTGGAGCACTAAAACAAACAAAAAAACCAGTGTCATTCAACTAATAGTTCGCGGTAAACATCACTATCTGAAAAAAAAAAAAAAAAAATCCGGTCACATATCTAGCTACTTAATTTGTGGAGACTAAGCACTGAGGTACTTGAGGGTTGGGACAAGATGCTATCAACACCATCTCAGGACCCCAGCCTGAGACGAGGCACAGGAACTGCTTTAATAGACACAGAGTTAATGAATCAAATCAAACCATTAAAACATTATAATTAAGAGAAAACACTGAAACAGAAATCATAGGACATTCCAGGTAAACTTCCCAAAGAATTACAAATTCCTAACATAGTTGACCCTTGAGCCATGTGGGGGTTAGGGGCACTGAGCCCCTGCATAGGTAAAAATCTGCATATAACTTTTGATTCCCCAAAACTTAACTCCTAATAGCCTACTGTTGACTGAAGCCTTACCAATAACATAGGTGATTAACAAATATTTTTGTATTATTTACTGTATTTTTATAATAAATAAAGCTAGAAAAAAAAATGTTAGTAAAAAGTCACAAGAGAGGGGTGCCTGTCTGACTCAGTCAGTAGAGCATATGACTCTTGATCTCCGGGTTGTGACTTCGAATCTCACATTGGGTAGAGATATTACTTAAAAATAAAAGTCCTTTGGGGCGCCTGGGTGGCGCAGTCGGTTAAGCGTCCGACTTCAGCCAGGTCACAATCTCGCGGTCCGTGAGTTCGAGCCCCGCGTCAGGCTCTGGGCTGATGGCTCAGAGCCTGGAGCCTGTTTCTGATTCTGTGTCTCCCTCTCTCTCTGCCCCTCCCCCATTCATGCTCTGTCTCTCTCTGTCCCAAAAATAAATAAACGTTGAAAAAAAAAATTAAAAATAAAAGTCCTTAAAATAAAAAATTAAAAAATAAAAACTTTGCTTTAAAACAAAAATCATAAAATACATTTACAGTATTACACTGTAAAAAATTGGCCTATAAAAGGACCCATGCAGTTCAAACCTCATGAGTCAACTGTATTTTATGGTAGTAAATGATAAAATAATGAGTATATATATATTTTTTTATACATTCAAGATATACCTAACTTTTTCTTAATTTCATCCATATTTCTAGGCTATACAGTTCATTCATGAATTTTTTCAAACTACTGCAAAACTCTAAAACTGTTCCCAATACATTTATTGAGAAAAGTCCATGTGTAAGTGGACCCACTGTAGTTCAAATCCATGTTGTCCAAGGGTCAACTGTACAGGGAAGTCAACACTGCTTTTACCACTGACAAGTTCATGTGCACCTTAAACAACACCCAAGATACTGCACACACAGTGCATCTAACTAGCACAAGAAAAACCATGAAGTGATCCAATGTCATTTATAAGTTCTTGCCTCTTACAACTGTCTTATAACCATAGTTAAGCTCATTACATCATGGGCTATCTTCAGAGGAGGGAAGTTCCTTGCTCTAAGGAATTTTACATAAAGTCTGAGTGCTTACATGTCAAAGACATGACCACAAATGGACACATTTCAATGTAGGTGTGAAGTTGACACAGGTGCCTTTAGAATCAGATGGGCTCTTCTAATTCTTTAATATTTATGCTTCAGTTGTAGAACTCTAAGAGGTAAGGTAGGATAATTCCCAGTTAAAATGCTTAATTTCATTTTAGGCTAGCTCTTCTGACCTCCAAGAAGACTGAGAGGTAGGTGCCTTTGTTAATTCTGGAGTTTTTTCTGCCAATACAGCCATCTTAAATGGCAGCGTAATTTGTCTGACAATGTAAGTGTGCATGCTCTGAAGTCTAGAGAGCTATTTATAAAACAAGCTGTGCTGGAATACCAGGATGTGAAAAATGGACAACTGAGGGCTGAAGTATCCACTGGACATTTAATTATCCACAATACAACGTTACACCCTCAGGAGAATCAAGCTGGGCAATGGTCATCACGCCCTCACCTAAAATTCTTTGGACTGGAAGGCTGGGATTCCCTCAAGGGCATTCAAAGGAGAAAGACACTGGACTTGCCTGTTTTCTCTGAGGTCATATGAGGAATGGCAAGTGGCACCACCACAGTCAGCCTCTGCACCTCCATGATGGTGGCTTCTGTGTAGGGCATCTGGGCCTTGTCAGTGAGGGAAGGGACTCTGTCAGCACCAATGACCCTTTCAATTTCTTCCTGAACCTTTTCTATTAAAAAGAATTAAAAAAGGAAAGAATAACAAAGAATAAACCATAAGATAAGCTAGAAGAATTGAGACTGCCTTCTTATGCATACTTCCCATATGTGTGTCATACACACAAGCGATAAGTTGGCAGTTTGGACCTGACTCAGCCTCAGAGCATAAAGCATTGGTCATATATTCCAGGTAGAGGCAGTTAGTCCCAGGGACCCTGTACCACCCTGTGACTTTGAAGGATAGCAGAACAGATAGAAGGGTAAAGGAGAAAGCATTCTGGATTCAGGAGTACTCTCAATCATTCTTTCATATGGACACTTGTTTTGACTCTCTAAGCTTGTATGTGACAACGTGAGTTATCCCAACAGGGCCCCCAGTGATCCCTGCCCCTTGGTGTTCGCGTCCTTGTACAGTCCCCCTCCACTCTGTACTAAGTTGATCTGTGTGACCAACAGAGTAAAGGAGAAGTGACACCATGTCAGTTCTGAGCTTAGGTTATAAAAAACACTGTGGCTCCTGTCTTGATACTTGTTCTCTCTTGGGTCACTCATTCTGGGGGAAGGCAGCTGCCAAGTCAAGCAGCCTTGTGGAAAAGTCCAAGCGGTGAGGCCTGCAGCCAATAGTCAAGTGCATGAGTCATCTTGGAAGTGGATCCTTCAGTCTCAGTCAATCTTGCAGATGACTGCAGCTTCAGCCAACATCTTGACTATAACTTCATGAGGAATCCTAAACCAGCCAGGCTAAGCTGCTCCTGGATTCCTGATCCTCAGAAACTATGTAAGATCGTAAAATGGTGGTTGTTTTTAGATGCTAAATGTTGGGATAATTTGTTAGTCAATAGTGAACAATAATGCAGAAGGCATAATCTCATTTATAGTATACAAAAAATGGCTCCTCAAAGATGTCCACACCCTAACCCCCTGGAACCTATGAATATGCTCCTTTATGTGGCAAAAAAGACCTCACAGCTGTGATCAGATTAAGGGCCTTGAGTAGGGAGGATTACCCTGGATTTTCTGGGTGTGCACTAATTACTTGGGTTTTAAAATTGGAGAACTTTCCCCAGTTGAGTTTAACGTTAGAGGGAGATGTGACTAAAAGAAAATGATCACAGTGCTTCAACATCGCTGGGTCTGACGATGGACAAGCGGGGCCAGGAGCCAAGGCAGCTGGAAATGGATTCTCCTCTAGAGTCTTCAGAAAGGAAGGCTGCCTTGCCAACATCTTCATTTTAGCCCAATGAGACCCAGAAGTTTAAGATAACAAACTTGTGTTGATTTAAGTCACTAAGTTTGTGGTTATTTGTTATAGAAGCAGTAGAAAAGTAATATATACTGTCCTCTTTTGTATTCTTCCATTATGAACTGCCAGACACTCTGTGAAAGTCACAGAACTTCTCTGGGTCTTCGTTCTCCAGTTTCAAAACAAGATGACTGGGTTCAGACAATCATTATGATTCCCTTCAGCTCTAAATTGTCCTTCTTCTCTAAAATTCTTCCTCTCTATAGATTTCACACAGAATCAGACCTGTAGAGATTTAAAGCAGGGGCAAGCAAGTATGACATTAGTCCCACTGGGAGTTTTTCTGTTAATACCTTACCAACTCCCTATGAGGTTCAAGGATTTCCATTTTGTTTCCCAGCCTGAAGACATTGCTTAGAGCTAGAAGCTACAGCATCACCAAAGTTGCTGATACTGATTTAAATAGTCTGGCTTTGGGGAGCCTGGGTGGCTCAGTCAGTTAAGCATCCGACTTTGGCTCAGGTCATGATCTCTTGGGTCATGAGTTTGAGCCCCGTGTCAGGTTCCGTGCTGACAGCTCAGAGCCTGGAGCCCACTTAGGGTTCCCTCTTCCTCTCTCTCTGCCTCTCCTCTGCTCCCTCTCTGTCTCTCAAAAATAAACAAACATGAAAAAAAAAATTAAATAGCCTGGCTTTGCCTGAATAAAGGAGACATCTGTTAATTACCTTGTATGTCGGGGTTCAGTGACATATAAAGAAGGCACCAAAGCAAGGAGTTAGTTGTGGTATCAGTTCCAGCAATGAAGAGATCCCCAATGATATAAAATAAATAATCTTCATTAAAGCTACTATTGCTATTATTTTTTCTCTCCTCGTCCACGTGGAGAAGGTACATGTCTATGAAATCCTGAGGATTCTCCACATCCAGAGACTCTCGATGGTCTTTGATGATTTTTTTAAGGAAAGTGGTAATATCCTTTTCAATCCGTCTTAATTCTTTAAATGGTCCAAAGGGAAGATAATAAAGCCAGGAGCATATGTTGACCAGGAGGAGCTGGGTGTTGAGACAGATTTCTAACGCTCGTGACATAAGATTGAGCATTTTCTTAAACTCACTATTAGTATAATCAAAACGCTGGCCAAAGCACAGGGAGCAAATGATGTTAGAGACAGCATTGTTGAGAATGGGGAAAGGGTTGAAGGGGTCTTCTCCATGCTTCTGCATTTCCTCTTTTATATATTTAAACTCCTCAATAATCTTGGGTTCCAAGCTAAGTTTTCCCAAGCCAAAATGACGAAGAGTTGAATGAGAGAACTTCCTCTGTTGTCTCCAGACTGGACCATAATGTGCAAATACAATCCCTGCAAAAGGACACCAAGAAAAGGTAAGAAAGAGCGATGCCTGATAACACTTAAAAGGACTTACAATGGGGCGCCTGGGTGGCGCAGTCGGTTGAGCGTCCGACTTCAGCCAGGTCACGATCTCGCGGTCTGTGAGTTCGAGCCCCGCGTCGGGCTCTGGGCTGATGGCTCGGAGCCTGGAGCCTGTTTCCGATTCTGTGTCTCCCTCTCTCTCTGCCCCTCCCCCGTTCATGCTCTGTCTCTCTCTGTCCCCAAAATAAATAAACGTTGAAAAAAAAAAAATTTA